GGTGTTGTATCTAAGAAAACACTGTTAAATCACAGTTCACAAAGATAAAGACACGCTTTCCTCTGAGACTCTATTTTTAGCTGGCTCTACATTTTTGGTTTTGCTCTAGAATTAACATATATTCACATGTTGTGAGGCAGGAGTCTAATTCATTCTTTTCCAGATAGGTAAACAGTTGTACCAGACGCATATGGTCAATCACAATTAAAGCTAATTTTTGGCACTCGTATAAAACCAATCAATTAACCAGGGATATGCAGGTTTTTCTTTTTCTTGGGTCTTGTTTTAGTGGTTGCCATCTTTTTAATTCTTCAGTGAGTTGGATACACAGTTGAGAGAGGTCACTTTTCTCACCTAGTTCTTACCCTGCACTCTTAGCTATGGTCCCCTCCACCAGTGTTTGTTCTCAATTCTGGGAGGCAAAACCTGCCCTAGGGTCAGATCCTCTGACGCTCTAGTGCAGGGGCAGAGTGTCCTTATCTTTCTTTGAGGCTCACTCTACCCTAAGAAGGACCTTCTTGGCTGTTTTTTCCTTGACTGTCTTCTATGGTTGTTTATTTGTGTGTGTGTGTGTGTGTGTGTGTGTGTGTGTGTGTGTGTATGTTTGTATGTATGTATGTGTTTCTGGATGTAGTCATCTAAGACAGGGGATTTTGCCTTGCACACTTGATTCTTGTGGAGGTCAGAAGAGGGTGTCTGATCACCTGGAACTGGAGTTAGAGATGGTTGTGAGCCACAATGTGGGTGCTGGTGACTGAACCAAGGTCTTGCTGAAAGAGCAGCAAGAGTATTAGCCCACTGAACCATAAACCCTTCCCCATTTGCATTATGAACTTAGGTTAATGTGATTTGAAAAAACAAATTTTCTCTAGTTAAATGGTTATGTTGATAGAGGTTAAAGATACCAATATATCACAACTTCACATGTCCATTTTACTATTTCTTTAATTTAAAATATTATTGACTAGTTTTTATACTGTCTTCTACCCATCGCACCTGTGAATTTTTGTGTATCAACCATCAGTTTTAGTTTCCTTATGATTATTTTTAAAATTAGTATGATTTTTATCAGTTAAGTTGCTGGTTTTTTATTTTGTTTATTTTTATTTTTTTTGAGACAGGGCCTACTATATAGCCTTTGTTGTCCTAGAACTTGTTCTGTAGATCAGGCTAACCTCAGACTCCCAAAATTCCACTTCCTTCACCTCCTGAGTTCTGGGATTAAAAGAGTGAATTATCATGCCTGGTCTGTTAAGTTAATTTTAGTTGAAGTAAGCAGGAAATCTATTAAATCTATTAAAACTGCCCTAGTTATCTAGTTACCTAGTTACCTCTACCTTCCATCCTCCCATGTCTCACATCATTTGGGGCTGGGCCTAGGACCTCCCCTATGTATCAAGTCTGAGAGATGATTGATATGTAAAGTAAGATTATTTCTAATTTAAATAAAAATTACCCTAGTTAATGAGCAAATTTATTATTTTATATAATAGGAAATCTAAAACCTGACTTTAGACTTGTTTGACTAGTAGATCAACAATGCTATTCCAATCCCATTTTATATAGTTTTCTCAGCTCTGATATCCATATTAATGTCTTCATACTAAGGCTGATTTTCCACTTTCTCAGAAGATGTCTACTAGCAAATAACAGTTAGACACTTTTGTTTATGCCCAAAGAAACAGAAAACAGTTCTTCCTATGTATTTTCTTCCCATCTCATTGAACAGACCACACACTCATTTGTGATCCAACTGCTGTCCAGTGGGACAGACTACCAAGGCACAGATGATGGGATTCCTACCGGGATTCAGCGGCCTTTGTTAAGAGGGCTCAATGCTCAGTTAGGAAGAAAGAAGGTGCTTATGGATACTAATTAGTAACCAACAGCACCCATTACAAAGGTGGCATTTTTTTTCTTACAACTTTTAACAGTCTATCTTTATACCTATTTTTCTAAGAAGATCTTGATGCCTCTGTCATTTCTTTCATATAGCCTATCTCACTTCAACTTTTCAACTTTTATCGTCATTAAGTAGCTAACACTATCAGATGACACTAAGTAATTTAAGCAAGAACATATAATTAGGGAAAGTTATAGTTCAAGTACAAGGACATTATTTCACTAAAGAGCACTCCACAGGCTAACTCTGGAATGTGTATCTTTGTATTTCTACCCATTGAGCTAACCTAACAGAAATATGACACAAGGGACTCCTTATCCATCATGTAGTATCTTCACTTGCTATAAAGGATAGCTTTTTCACTGTAGCCTTTGGCAAGAACAATCCCACCATCAGAATGATGACAATAGGTAATTTATATGATTAATTTATTCACTAAATAATTCCAAACACTCAGTCAGATGATGGGAACAGAACTGAAGACTAGGTGACGTTCCTAACATCCAGAGAAATAGCAGAAACTGAGGAAGAAAAAAATCAATGTTACAATAGCAACCACTGAATATATGGACATAAAGTTACCATGAAATGTGCAGAGCTAGGGAATTATAAAGCTTATAAAAATTTCCACGAAAATGCCACTCATTCTCAAACTAGTTTAAACTTACTCTATGTGTCATTAAAATAGGAATACTAAAATAACAAGAGGTGAAGTAATATTTATGACAAGGCAGTAAGATATATGGAAAAGAACAGCTGCCAAGAGAGATGTTTTAGGAGTTACTGCTGTTTTTCAAAGGAAGACAGTTCAGAAAGAATAACTTATTAAATATTGTCTGGGAATATGCCTAAGGATTGCAAAATGGTATTTTATCCTTAGGTAAATAAAACACCTTAGGAAATATGGGAAAATGAGGACAAAATGTAACTTTAAAACACAGGTAAAGGGAAGGCTTATAAACTTGTGTAGTTAGTAGGGCCTTTAATATCTAAGTTTTAACTAAAAAGACAATAGTTAAACACCCCACACTACAAAAAAGAAAAACAACAACAACAACAACAACAACAACAGCAAAACAAAACAAACAAAAAACCTCAAACCAAACAACAAAAAACAAAATCTAGAAATTTGGCACATTCATAAAGTACCATAACCAAAAATAAAGTGTAAGGACAAAAGGAGAAGATTGTTTTCCACATGTGACAACAATTGGCACTAAATATACAGAACATTCCAATGGTCAGGAATTTAAAATGGAAACCTGATGGCCAAGACTGTAGAAACAAGACCACATACACTACTGTTAATGCAATTCATAATGTACTACCTTAAAGCGCAGGTGTTAACTACTCTCTTTACTTCTGCAAGTTCATCATAACAAAATGCTACATGTATAAATAAAATTATAAATAAAATGTGTAAATATTCTATAAAGGTAAATGGGCAAAGTAGGACACGGTGTCATCACAAAAAAGCTCAAGGACTTTGTGTTAATCAAGGAAACAAGTTAGAAAATGTTCATATTATCTGACAGTTTGGATGACAATGATAAAAGCTTAAACATGTATATGTGCACAGACACAATGTGTGGAAAGACATTCATTAGATGCCACTTTAAAATGGCAGGGGAATATGAGTGAGCCTGAGCTTACTACTTAAAATTATTTTAACAAGAAAACCGAACCATATTGTTTCAGGAATTAGCAATATGGCTTTATCTAATTTATACTGATACTTCCTCTGGTTTTATTTATAATACCATGAGCAACAAAGAGAAATTTTGATGCTGCAATTTTCTTTGAGGATGCTTTTAAGGATATTGTTTCCTCTTGATATGTTCCAGAGACGTCACACAAAATTTCTCATAGGGCTAGGTGCCAGAAACTCCTTTAGTTATCATTGAGAATTTGTATTTTCTATTAATGGATAATGAAAATCCCTTCTTTAAAGATTTACTTGTATTTTTCCTCATATGGTGTGAGCATTTAAAACCCCATCAAACTGCAGTTACTCTGTAGGACCCCGCAGCTTATGTATCTCCACCTCTAGAAGTATGCAGTCTGAGTTCCATGCAACTTCTTTTTCTCTCATCTTGGTCATGAGGTTTCAGTGATTGTGTGCAGCAGTCGCCTTGCACTAGGCAGATGAGAGGACGACAGCTTTACTTTCTCTTCACTGTCTGATTAGAGAGCTTTGTAAGCCTTTGCACAGCAGCCTGGGCTGGGGTCTCCAACCACATGGCTTCACCCAGATGGATGGTGGGTCCTCTGATTTCTTTCAGGGAATAAAACTGCTGTTTAAGCTCTTCTATTTTACCATTAATAAAGTACATACATTGATCTCTATTCGACTCTGTTGGTCTGTGGACAAAACATGGAGACAGAAAGCCCCCTCCTCTCTATAGTACACAGGAGTGACTGCTGCCACTTCCCTTAGTTCTCTAAGTTCATGTGCATTAGTTTGTATCCCTCCATCAACATGGGAGAAACTCCATTAAGATGGCTATATGCCATCTTCACACAAGTAGGTAAACAGTATGTTACTCCTACTTGCTTAAGAAAAGAAAAGAGCTTGGCCGCATCAGGAATGATTGGAGCAGGTGCATAAGACCCATTGCCCACCGCTGCATTCATCTCTGGATAGGTCTCAGTGTGATCCAACACATTTGTAATTAACAACATCATACCACAGTGTCAAAGACTGGGCATTCCTTACTTAAGGGATTTGTGAGTTTGGGTAAAAGGCTTACTAACTGTCCTCAGATATGGGGGCTACAGAACAAGCAGCAGATAAGAAAAAGTAAGAAGGCAACAGTGTTGCTTCAGATGGAATTTCCTTCACCCTAAAGGTGTCTATAGAGACAGAATGACAGGTGGCTAGGATGCAGGAGTGCAGAGTTAGGGGTCAGCTACTTTAACCCGTGGTTCTGGCATAGTTCTGTTAGTTGGCCAAGTACGGTTTTATAAACTAGAGCAACACTTTGTGTATGTTTTCACTAACTTCACAATAATTTATATGATACCTACCTCTGGGGTTAAAACCAAGAGGATAATGAGAAAACATTAGGTGCTGATGACAGCCAAAGAGAACATTTACCTGTCTGGAAAAAGACTCTAGAAATGATGGTCCGGCAGAGTGGGCAGGGAGTGCTTGCAGGGTTGTCTTTGGCCAGAGTCCGTAGGCAGGGCTCACAGAAGATGTGGTGGCAAGGGTAACACATGTAAGGGTTGAAGTACACATCCAGGCACACTGCACAGATGTAGCTGTCCTTTTCTTCTGTGTATTCATTCTCATCATCTGTACTCATCTCATTACTCAAACTCTGCAAAACACAAGGAAAACATTTTTTTCTTGGTTTAGTGTAAGATTGGATTCCCTGAGAGAGGGTGACTTTACATTTTGTTAAAATTAAAATATTTATGAGGTGCATATGGTATCCGTTTCTGTAACATATTCCAAGTGATAGAAATGTGGTCTGTTAAAGTGAGAAGAAACAAAAAACATATGAAAATCCCAGAAACCTCAATTATTCCCTAATATTTCTACAAAAACTAAATGGTAAACCACACCTAAGCATATAAAGTACACCAGCCCCAGGTAAGTGTTACATCTACCAGCACTGGGATTACAAACTCCTGACCAAAATAGTGACTGTCATGGATTAGAGGATGTTACCATGGCATCTTCTCATGATGCCCATCAGACTCTCCTCCCTCTCACATTGTACCTGGACCACTTCTCATTCTCTACCTTGCATCTTTCTAGGTCTCAATGCCAAGAAGGTGTCCAAGTTAAGGGGATGTCTAGTAGTGGATTGGTATTTATCCCTAGTACATGAATGGACTTTGGGAGCCCTCTCCACATAGAGGGATAATCTCTCAGCCTAGACACATAGGGCGAGGGCCTAGGTCCTGCTCCAAATGACATGACAGACTTTGAAGATCCCCATGAAAGGCCTCACTCTCCTTGGGGAGCAGAAAGGGGGATGGGATAAGGGATTGGTGAGGAGCAGGGGAGGAGGGGAGGGAGAGGGATTGACATGTAAAACAAGCTTGTTTCTAATTAAAATTTTTAAAAAAGTAAAAAACAAAGTTAAGGGAATGTCAGGAGGTCGACTTGGTAAAGCAATGTGGGGTAATTATGGGATTAGTTTTGTGGCTAGGAAACAGGAGAAACCTCTTCTCTTCCCAAATATAATCATTTGGGAGAGACAGCTTAGAGTAGAATGAGGTATGGTAGAACAGTTCCTATTATTTAACCTCAGCATTAGCCAATCTGTGAAGCTGTGGGGATTAATCCAGGTGATCCACTTCAAACACTGAGCACAATCCCTTAGCTCAAACACAGTTAACTGATGTTAATCATGGCTACCTTCTTCCTCATCTGCTTGTCTCATCTTCTTTCACACCAATCTCTGGAGTTTCTGCTAAAGCCTTGGGGAAAGTTTTCTCAAGCTAGGATAAGTTTGGGGAGAATAGTCAGTTTACGTCTTTTCTCCTCACTGTGACAAGATCAGTGAACAACATTTGAATGGCCCTTGGCTCATTAATAGCTGTAACATATACAGAGATACAGATATATACAGAAGACAAAAGAGGCTTGGGATACAAACAAACAGGAACCAACAACAAAACCCTTATTATGCTTTGAATGTTTATCTCTTCCAAAGCTCCTACTGAACCTCAACTCCCCAAAGCAACAGTATGAGGAGATGAGGTGTGGGCTGATGAAATCCTGGGCAGACTCTCAGGAATAGATAGGATTAGTCACCTTTGTAAAGGCTGAAGGGAATGAAACGCATCCCCTCCATTCTTACATTCTTCTGCCAGTGAGGACTGCACTCACTCCTATAAGGAAGCCTGGCAGACTGGACCTTCATCTGACACTGGCCTTTCTGGGACCTGAACTGGAGCTTTCCTGCATCCAAAAAAATGTGAAAAATTCTTTCTTTTAAATTTCCCAGTCTGTGGTATTTGTGTTATAGCACCAAGTATAGCCAAATAGTCCTGAGTAAAACCAAGTTATACACAATTATTTGATTTATCTAGATGTTTTTATTTTTCCATGGCCATTCTCATTTTATAAAAGATACAGTTGAGTGAGCCCATTTATTTTCATTTAAATTGCCATTTTTCTTATAGGCATGGGGACATTTTTATTTAACCAAGTTATTTGTTGGTGCTGAGTAAATGTGTTACACTTAATTTTCTTTACTCTGTTTTGCCTTTTCACTCGTCTCATATCATCCATTGATGGAATAAGTTCTTAATTTGATAACATTTTTTATTGTATGGAGGTCCCTTTTGTATTTAAGAACTCTTGTCTTTTTCCAGGGTCATTATGTCGGCATTATTTTATACTTCATATTATTACAAATACATCATGTTTCTGAAACTGATTCTATTGAGTGGGATATCTTATAGATGAATTTAATTCTCTTGCTTAATTAGTCTTGTCTTTTTTTTTTTAAACTAAACCATTTTCTTTTGTGAACTGTACCAAAGTGAACTTTTGTGAACTTGCCAGTATGTGTCTGTTTGGGGGTTTTTATTCCAGCCCATCAGTGTGTTGTCTGTCCTGCCCCATAATCACAGCCTGCAACCTTAGAATGACACAGTATCTGATGTTGAAATCCTTCTATGTTATTGTTACTTGTCAATAGTGCTGTGGCCATTCCTGACCATTTCCATGACTATGTACAGTTTAGAATTACGTTGTCAGGTTTTGGTTTAAAAGCTAAAATTTTTACTGGAACTACATTGAACCTATGGATAAATTTATGATGTATTAAAAGTCTTTATATTAAAATGCTTTAATACTTAGAGGCTGGTTTATTTTCCCATTTATTACAAAAGCACTTAAGTTATCTTGGTACAATTTTCTTTTTACTGGATTCAATACCTTGCCTCTAATACTACTGCTTAGTCCCTCTTCTTAGCTAGCTTTATTTTCTTGGTGTGACATGCATGCTCTACAAACTTCACACCTAAACGAATGTATAAAGGGAAAACTGCCTCTTACGCTCAGCTGTCTTTCTCTTCTCTCTTTCCACAGTAAAACTTCCCAAGAGACTCACTATGTTATATGTAATTGCTGCTTCTTACTTCTTACCCTTGCTTCAACCCACTAACCTGTCTTCTGTTCTTAATACAATGGGGAGACTACTTACACAACCATTAACAGTCTTCAGTGCAACCATATCTAGAACACTTTCTGGTTGTTTTTCCTTGCTCTCTCAGCAGAATTTTGTGGGTAGACCAGGTCTGGAATGAGAGCAGACAGAGCCCCCACTCTGGAGTTATAAGCCAATGATGTGGGTGCTGGGAACTGGTCTATTAAGTGTTCTTAATCACTGGGCTACATCTCTAGCTCTGTCAAATGCTAACTTCTAAACATGGTTTAGTTAAGTCTCATTAAGATATGGCTGTATCAGAAATGTTACATATTTCAAGCCAAATTAATTAAGTCAATGAATAATGACAATACAAAGAATTTGGAATTTGTGTTGGGGCTTCTGAAGGTTTGTTCCAGGCTAGATGGGAAAGGGCTGTAACTATCTTTTATTGCCAAATGGTATTGGGGACAAGTAACAAGAACTATGTGAGATGTTTCCTATCCCCCGATTTAGGGTTGACAGTTTTTATAATGATTTATGTTTATTTTGAATTACATTATATATTGGCTGATTATACCTTTTTAGTGGAAACAAGGTAATGAATGTTCTATTCTTATACATAGACCACTTTTGTGTGTTTGTCATTATTAGCTTAAATTTACTTCATTTCCCAAGATGTCTCTTTTATTATGCTTGCTAGACTCCACATATTTTCCTTCCATTAAAAAACAAATAAAACAAAACAAAACAAAAAACCCTTTGGCTGGTGGGAGGCTCAGCTGGCAAGGTGGTTCAGCTAGTAAAGGTACCAAGCATAAAGACCTGAGTTTGATCCCTAAGACTCACATGGTGGAAAGAGAGAACCAACACCTACAAGGCCTACTCTGGCCTACATATGAATGCACACAAAATAGTGTAACAAACAAAACTATTGCCGTCATCTTAGCTTTTGCATAATAGTTCCTACAGCTAGAAAAAGTTTAGGTTCTGATTTTAACATTCATGTTTTTCCTTAGTGAGTCTACTTTCCCATTGTGATATACTAATCAATGCAATACCTTTTGTTTCTCTCAAATAGCATTTAGGTTATTAATTTTTATTTTTTTACATTAATTGATTTATTTTGTATGTGCATATGTATGGCACAGGCCAAAGAATAACATGGAAAAGTTGGTTCTCTTCTCCCATCATGTGGATCCTGGCTCTAAAACACTTATCCTCATGAGAGGTGGTAGGCACTTTTACCTGTTGAGCAATTTCACTGGCCCTCATTTTTAGATTTTCAAACTGAACAATAAACACATTACAATTCAGTGAATAATGTAATAATCCCATAGAAAGTACATGATGACTTTTATGCAATCACTCTTAAGAAATATATCTAGGGATTTTGCTGAGTTCTGCCCATGTCTTGTAACTACAGAACTTTAGATTATAGTTGATGGAAATGAAGCATAGATGAGGTAGATGAGGTGTCTGTAACTATTTATATGCTTTTAATCCCTAAAAAGGAATTAAATCTGTTTGTTCATTGACATCAAGCTTGGCTATATACTTTGTCCCAAGAAAAACGAGCAAAGGTAAAGCAAACTGTATTTAAATAGTTTTTTTAAAAATTAATTTTTATAATTCTGCCAACAGTGGCTGTTCTATCATTCGAGATATGAGGATTGGAAAGTCACTAAAACCTAGAAGAGGACAACAGGTAACTTAGGAACAGGTAACTCCACAAACTCTGTTGTAGATAGGCCACTGGGATTTAGGAGCAGTCCATTATCACACTGGCAGAGTGACTAACAGAAATTGGGTTCAGGGACAAAGGTACCTAGATAACACAGTCAAAAATACAGGCTATTGACTTAGTGAGTAAACTATTTGCTACTAGAACAGTGACAACTCATGCTATGCACTTGGGAGAAACTGTCACCTCCGATAAACTGGAAATGAGAGACTGAGCAAAGCAAGCTCATGACTTGGTTACTGTTGGTCTCATTTGACATGGTGCATACAAAAGGAAAAGAGAAGTTCAGGAGAAAGATGACCTCATTTCAAACACTATGAAAGGAGGAAGAGAAGCAAACAACATTGAAACAGACAACTGCTTCTCATGCTCAATCAATAAAGTACTTCAAAAACATTTAAGGAACAAAGGCCAACCTGTAGTCAGAGATCAATGGGGTGTCACTTGCAACACATGGGGGTTGTAG